GCTGTTAATCAGATTCAAAAAACACCTCTTAGAAACACAAACACAAAAATGCTTGGATTTTTTCTTTTTGTACCTTTTCAAAAAGATAAAAACAAGTTTAGGCATCAACTTTCACACAAGCAATGGTGACCATTTTTAAGCATACCAAGATAGAAGTATAATTAAATGTAAATTACAATTACCTCCATTGAAGTTTCATATAGATACAAAAGAAAAAATAACAAAAACAACCCCTTCTCTCTCTCTCTCTCTCTCTCTCACTCTCACACATGCATTATTTTGTGTAACAACACATGCTAATCGAGGCTATTTCAACGACCTTCACAGTTCAAAATCAAATCATGAAGTATATGACACCTTGAAAAACCCTAATCTGGTAAAGTTGGATAGATTGAAATTGGGCATGAATATTGACAAAATAACAAGAATGGTGCAGTATGCTTACTTAAAAGAGACAACCTTCGGGAGAGAAAATGAATATGTGACAATTGTAAATGCCTGCAAAGTGAAGAGAACTACAACTCATTTGATCTTTTGGGTGTCTTATTTTTATTTGATTTGCGTTTGAACATATAGACATAAAAGCAAGGCTGTCCATGTAAAGAAAAGGAAAGAAATCTTTGTGCATTAAACATATAGTGTTGAAGGAATAATATGATATACTAATTTTACCTTTCTCGAGCTTTTGATACTGTTCTTGCCTCTAACCCAAATTATTACCATCAAGCGAGACTAAGCTCTCAACATAGGTATCCACTGGAAGACAGTTGCACATGTTAGGTATGGTTACGTATTCCAGGATTCCTAAATTTACCATCTTTCGGATTGTAAAGAACTAACCAATTCTCAAATTTCAATAAAATTTCACCAGTCTTCGAAATGCACAGTGTGTGTAGTGACAAATTCTTGACACTATAGAATATGGTATTGTGAACAACTTAGTCCAAGGTTCTCTCTCGCCATTCTCGTTCATTACCCATACATCAACACAAGTCGAGAAGTTGTAGAGCACATGGAGGCATCCTTTTAAAATGCACAATGTCAAATCAATAACACCATCCTCATAATCAGGTGGGACAAATGCTCCATATGTTTCTGTGAGGCCTTTTTTAAACAAAACTGTGAGGCTTCGGCCAAAGCGGACAATATTGTGCTTTTGTGCTTGAGACATCCATAGATGGCGCCAAAATGAAGCAATCAACCCAACCCCACTAGCACAATATTATCCGCTTTGATCGAAACCTCACAGTTTTGTCCATACGTTTCTGTGAGGCCTTTTCTAAAGAAGAAAAAAACTGTGAGGCTTTGGCCAAAGTAGACAATATTGTGCTACTGTGTTAGAGGCATCTACATACGGTGCCAAAATGAAGTAGTCAACCCAACCCCACTAGCACAATATTATCCGCTTTGATCGAAACCTCACAGTTTTGTCCATACGTTTCTGTGAGGCCTTTTCTAAAGAAGAAAAAAACTGTGAGGCTTTGGCCAAAGTAGACAATATTGTGCTACTGTGTTAGAGGCATCTACATACGGTGCCAAAATGAAGTAGTCAACCCAACCCCACTAGCACAATATTATCTACTTTGGTCGGAGTCTCACGATTTTGTTCTTCTTTAGAATGCTAGAGGCATCCATAGACGGTGCTAAAATGAAGCAGCCAACCCAGCCCCACTAGCACAATATTGTCCGCTTTGGCCGGAGCCTCACGGTTTTGTTCTTCTTTAGAAAAGGCCTCATGCTAGTTAGGAAGAGTTAGTCAACTTATTAAGTGGGTTGTGGATGTCTCTCAAATCAATGTGGGACAAACCCATTTCGGATTTCCATAAGTTCCTTCTCCAAATCAAGAGAAACAATTACTCAAGAAGAGTAGCTAAAATTTGTATCAATACAGGTGGCCCAATGAAGAGTCTGATTTCAAAATCTCCCTGAAATAAATGTACACGGAGGAATACCATAAGGAAAGTCTCCGATCCTCCTCCATGAATTCCTCTTTAATGAATAAACCACCCCCCCAC